TGCGAAAACCTTTGGAGATCTTAAGCAACGCGAAAGAAATTTATAGTTATGAGCGGCATACTGTCTCCATATGCCGTGCTCGCGACGACATTAGGCGCGTCGATAACGTCCTCAACGTCGCAATACGATGGTCGTCGCCGTAAAGCATCGCGTCGTCGTAATGCGGGACACGTTGCAAGGTAAGCGCAATCAATATCGCGTATAAAGCACTTACCTGGTGGCCGATGCGCACGTGCTCGCTTCACGTCGATCCGCGAGGTTATGCCGGGCGGCGCACACTGCCGAGTGCCGGGGTCTGTCCGCCTTCTTTTCTCTCTCTCTCTCTCTCCCCCCCCCTCTCTCTCTCTCTTTATATCTTTCTATTCCTCTCGTGCTCTCTTCTCGCTCTCTCGTCGATCGATCTCGCCTCAATCGACGTCACTTGTTTAGTGTCACATTGTAGAAGCGTTCTTCTCGTCTTCTCCTTTTTTTCTATCGCTCGCTTTCGTCGCATACGCCTGAATAAGTCCGTTGGATGATAGAGGAAAGGAGGAAGGGATGGAGAGAGAGAGAGAGAAAGAACGAAAAGGAGACAGTCAGCACACCGCGCAACCGGCGTAACAGTCGAAACTTTCGAGAACTCCGATCTTCGCTCGAGTAGTAGACACGACGTTACCTTGCCGCCGTCTCGGCAACGACTTCCTATCGCCTTCTCGCGCCCGCGCCTCCGCAACCACCGTTCTGTCCGACGCCCCCTCCCTCCACTTCGCGCGAATGATGCGCCTCTCACCGACCCGCGAGCGAGAGAGAGAGAGAGTGAGAGAGAGAGAGAGAAGAATCCGCAGTCGCACGATCTCTCGAGTTTCTCTCGAAAGGAAAGGAAAGGAAAGGAACGTGGAGGAAATGTCTCCTCCCTCATACGCGGCATAATTCGCACATGATACCATAAATGATTAAATAAAGTCCGCTTTCCATAGTTGAACTAGTAAGTGTATACTTTTGGTACTTAAAGTCAAATGATATATGTTCGACATCTGACGAGAAAAAAAAATTCTAGTGAGTTCTAGTATTATAGTCTAGTGCAGGAAAAAAAACCAGACTTGTAGGTCCTCGTGATTCGGGAATCAACTACGTCTTATGTACATCTTAATAAAATAAGGTAAAGCCCAAGACACAATGCTAGAGAATAGCGATAGCGATAAAAATAACACGATTTCAATCTATCAGAAATCGGATACACCGGAATACACAGTTTCTAATAGGTTGAAACTATGTTATTGCTATCGCTATTCCCTCGCATTGTGTCTTGGGCTTAAAAATTACAAAATTAAAAGTAAAGTTACTATATATAATTTCGATGGTTACCATCTAGTGAACTTGTTCACTTTTGTCATTTTCACCTCGTTTCAAGATACACAATCGATTCTTAGGAGAAGTCGCTATAAACACGAATGCTCTCCTCTCTCTCTTTTCTCCGTTGTTTCCTTTGGAGTTTGCAAAATTCGCGGTCGAGCAAAGAAACACCTTAGTGGAAAGGGGATCCTCCCTTCCCCCTCCTTCCTCTTTCACTCTCTTCTCATTCTCGCTATCTGTTTCTTTCTCGCGGCGGAACCAGTGCAAATGGCTGCGTTTTAACACGTCACCACACACTTGCAATTTTCACGCGTCTCGCGCGTGACGCGTATAACGAAATACGCGAGTACTCTCGCGTTTGTACGGTACGTACGATATATATATATATGTGTGTGTGTGTGTGTGTGTGTGTGTGTGTGTGTGTGTGTGTGTGTGTGTGTGTGTGCGCGCGCGCGCGTGTGTGTGTAATGTAGGTGTACAAATCGGCCGGTGGGTATCCACGCCGCACACTTACGAACTGGTGGAACGGCTGGCTCAACGTTCCCAGGTTTGAGGTGCGAACTCGCCGGTTTCGGAGAAAGTATGAAGACGGAAGAGAATGCAGAGAGCAGAGATAAATGTAAATATATAATACAGACAGAGAGAAAAAAAGAGAGAAAGAGAATAGATATCGGCGAACGAAACGGAATCACGCGTGATAAGCCGCATGTAGTCGCGACACGCGCGATACAGATGTGCCGCGGTTGGCAACACCGAGAGATTCGGGCGCGGAAGATATCTCCTCTCGTGAACCGCTGGCGACGAACTGGCCGAGCAGCGCGACGGTTGACAGCGGTCGCACAAACTCGCAGAACTCCAGCGATCCGCGGTGGCGCACGTCGCTACTAACCGTTCCACGCTACGCCGGCCGCGCCGGAGCCGGAGCCTCCGACCTCAAGTCTGCTAAAGTCCACGGAGTCCACAGATACGCTGCCGGCCGGCAGCCGGTCGCGCACGAAATCAATCCGGAGTTGCCCGAATTCAGCCGGAAGCGGAGCGTGTGTTGGCGCGCGCGCGCG